TTGGTAAATGCCGCAAAAGACAAAAGAAATTTAACTGAGGTAAAAGTTGTAATTACCCTGTGATCAAGCATGGTTACAGTTGGTAACCAAGGTCAAGATGACAAATATATCCGCTTGTGGCGGCGTAATATTTCACTTCCCGCGGTGAGCAGATTGTGCGATTGTCGACAAAGCAAAGCATTTGTTTTCCAGTTTTGACTAGGCTGTCATGGCAGATAACGTGGAAAGATTGGATCCTTCTTCTTACGGCGAACAATCCGTCATGTGAAAGAAAGCATTGTATTTTTCATTCTCAGTATTATTTACAACTTTCTCTAGACAAACTTCGATCCTTTTTTGTGTAATTATTGTCAATATATTTTGCCACCAGGGAGGATGCTGCATACGTTGGATATGTATCCACGTTTCTACGCATATAACTATGCATACTCTGGGTATGATGAAGCAGCTGAATTTTCGCCACAATATAATGGAATGAGGTCCTTGCCCATTAAAATGATGGCACCTCAATCTGCCCCTGTTCTGCTGTGGTGGGATCCTCGTCCAAGTTCGATTTCATGACGTCGATAACGCAGCGCGCGCGAATGTTGAAAGATCAACTTGAGTTATTTGAGCTGGTATAAACACCGGACGAATGTACCAAGGTTAAGTAACCTGACCTTAGTAACTGTTTACCTTGGTAAAAGCTCAAATGTAAACACAGCATTATATATACTTTTAACCCTGTTTTTTTGGAACAAAATTATAACAGAAAAGTGTTGTGGTACCATCTAGCTGGTATATTTTCTAGACCAACATGTAGCAACAGATGTTGAGGCCAAGGGTTCAAGTTTGATTTGTGCACCAATAACAGTATGTTATTGGGAATGGCACTTTTTTCTGATTCTCAACATTTCTTTCCTGTAGGTTCAACTAAGTACAGATATTATATAGTTTGTAAATTTTGGGGCAACCAGTGGCAAAAATGCTCAACACAATTAATTAAACTAGAGTGGTAAGCCATCCAGTTCAGTTTGAATTATTTGTTTCAGTTGTTTGTTCAGCCCCACTACCCCTTGTCCTGTAAACCCTGCCAAGGGTAAATAAAAGTTATTTTTATTTATTATTTATTTATCCAGGGAGAGATACATTATGCATAGATGGTCTACTTCAGTACCTAAAATCAGTCTCCTCTTGTGCATATAATTTACAATATTTTGTGAAGTTCAACATAAAAAGTTGTTGCAATATAACAAACTTACATGTAGCGACAAGATACATTTTGATAACATTCAGTGATATTCCTTCCATGCTTATCAATAGCTGCAGCATCACATTTAACTATGAATAAGGAAAGTAAATTAACACTACAATCCAATGTGATAAAACAATCTGGTCAATTAGAATGTTCCCGTTGACAGCCTGCAAGCAGAGTCATATTGAAGGAAACTTTGCTCTCAGGGTATCACAAACACAGCACAATGCAGCTCTTGAAAACCGACATTTTTCCTTTTTTCCCCTTGTTTACTGATCACAATTTACCATAGTGACTCAATCAAGTGCTAATAATTTGGTAGCTGCTCAATAAACAGTCAAATAAACAGTAACTCATTTGTGTAAACATCACTAAGGTGTCAAAGTCAGTTTGACACATGTATATTAAAATTACAGACGTTACACATTGCATTCCCATTCTGATTGACTTAATTCTAATTTTGGTTTGGAGTCCATGTTCTTTGATGCTACCACAGCAGTTGCCCATCTATCATAATCTAAATCATACTGCAATCTGAATTGACGGCTANCGGTTCCATTTATACACCTGGGCAGAGAGTGTGTCTTGTCCAATAACACAACGTAATATATGTTCCCAGCCAGGACTCGAACCCGGACCGCTCGATCCGGAGTCGAGCGCACCAAGCATGAGGCCACCGCGCTCCCTCACGAAAGGTATTATGGGTAATGGCAAATCACCATTGCTTGATCGAAGTTCACGATGTTTCATAAAGAAGGAACGACAAACCACAATGCACACTGTCGTTACTTCTCTATCTAAGCTATTGATACCCCCGTCAAGTTCCAGGAAACAGCAGTAGACTAACGTTACCCCAAATACTTTTCGGCATACTGCGCACACTTTTACGCTATTTATAGGATAACCTTAATTTCTTCGAAACAGCTGCATACAATGTGGCAGACATTCCATGTATCAGTCAAAGCTTCGACAAAATTAAGCTGCACGCGCCTACCTAAAAAGTCTGTTGTTAATACATCCTCGTCCTGAAGAAGAGGCGTGTATAGTGGAAAGTCGCGACCTTCACAGTTCTCTGAAAGAATAATTAAAACACTGTAACTGCTTTGAAAAGTATCGAAATTAAATTTTTATATTCACCTCCTTATCTCGAACTCCCCGCTATCTCGAACGCAAATAATTTTCCCTTGGATAAACTTACTATCGAAGTCGCTGACACCTGGAACTACAGTAAAATTAAATCCCGAGTGTAAGCACCAACATTTTTTGGTAAAATATGTTTTTGTATTTTGGGATAATTACTGGCAATTTAGGCTAAGTAGGTTCCTATTTTAGGTTCTTAATTTCTACGAAGGAGATTTAGTTGTTGGTTACCAGAGAAAAAAACAAACTAAGGTTTCGTCCTTAAATATATAGCATATTTATTCACAAGCATAATCTCATGGTCACACTCCTTGGGTAATTTGACGGTAACCGGCCACATAAGAACCTGCTTGATCTTGCATGGCTAAACAGGTTCTTATATTTTTGACTATTAAAATGGCAAATTTCTTCCAACAGTTTCTTAAACCAATAGGTTCTTACCCCAGGGGTTTTACTGTATGTTTCGTTATTGCTTGTTTACATTAACTAAATGTACAACCGTGACATTCCTACTTTCTACTAGCACGAGGATGAAGGTTTCTCTCTCGTTGAGGAATTCGCTGGCGTTTGATGTCTGATGGTCCGTGAGATTTTTTACAGCACCCTGAAGATCCGACAGGTCAATAACCGCTACGGGAAGGAAATAATCAAATTATAAAATGGTCAAGAGTGAGTGACTTTTTGAAATTCTAGATATCATCAAGAAAAAAAAAGTGATTTCGTTTCGATTTTATCGAGTATCTTCTCGCAATATTAGTTATTGTCGTTGTCGATCAAGTATTATTTAAAACTGGATCATTGGATAATGCAATTCGAGAGTTTTCATTGGCTTAGCCATCACAGGTTATGAGCCATTATACAATGCTCTAGAAATATAGCAAGCGTACGCATGATTTTTTGGGGCGTATTTATTTTTATTTTAGTCTAGTTTGCTATATTTTGGGGGCGATTTTGATAAAACAATTACTATTCCACTCTCGCTTTTTGGATATAAGATGGTTATAGCCAACTTGGTGTTAAGCGCCTCGTTGGCTATCTACCATCTCATACCCAACGCGCACGCGTGGAATAATTGTAACCAGAGTTTTCTAAGGGATGCATATATCGTGTTTTGATTAACATCTAAATTCTTACAGCCCACCTAATGAGTTTTATTTTGCCATAGCAGGGCGTGTGACTTAAGAAAGATCTCTTTACAAAGAACCTCTCGTCCCCATGTACCTTTCTCTATTTTCGAATTTTCCATATAAAAACTCAAAATAAAATCTAACATGGCGTTGGTTACGGGGACCTCTTGGCAACCTCGTCACCAGGGTCTTCTCCACTTTTCAAAATGTCCGACGAGCCGCCATTTTGAACATCGTAGGGAGAAGACCTTGGTTTTGAGACTCTTGGCTACCCGGCCACCTGGTTGATGTTACCTGGCTGAGCGGCTCGTGTTTCGAAGACCTTTCTTGAGGGTATCAATGGGAATAACCAGTAGCCTTAAAATCCACTACCCCATTGAGACCCTCGTCTTTGGATAGCGTTTAAATAAGTCTGTTTTTCTTGGTGAAAACCTGATGCCAACATGAACATAAAAAAATTATCCGTTTTTGTACAGTTGGGTCGAAAGTCGGATGGGTCCTAAACTTAGCCTATACGTACCATTCTCAGCACAGTTACATCGCCTTTTAATGTCTTCTAGCAGGTGAAGAGTGCGACAGTTTGGGTTGAAAAGTGCCTCTTCGCGATCTAGATGACAAAAAAGAAACCATCTAGCAACGTAACAAAACGTTTTCTGTTCATTCTCGGCTCTCTCGCAGAAAGACTCCGAAATGAACGAATAGTTCTTGACAAGGTAGAGCCTCTGCACTACTACCAAAATGAACGCGTGCTGCCTGCTCAAGAAACAAGATTCCCGCGAGTTGAAACTGTAGGACTGTTTAAGTTCTTGATCTGTGATTATACACGTGTTTCCTGATTATGCGGGGATTAAAAGTTCTACGGTGGTATTTACCACGTTCGCTGATCGGATTTCTTAACATGGATTATTCCCGCAGATGACCTCGGTCAGGAAATTTACAATCCGGCCCATTTGCACCTCAGTTCTTACATAGACTCTCTCTATATATATATATCAGAGTAATGCGAATAGACTGTATTCACGGTATTGGACTGGAACTAGCTTGGAACTGAGGCTAATGCGGAGAGTGTTTTTTAAATCGACATCTAAATGACATTAATCTCTTTTTAATGATTCTCCCTCACACGAGCCTTCACTGCAAGATAGTTCCAGTCCATACTGAGAATACGAATATGTCCTATTGGAAAACATACACCTTATTCCAAAATGGCCGCCATTTTAGTATTCTTTTGTTTACTTGAAAATGAGCCCTTGTTACCTCGTTTAAGGGAAAATATTCTTTTGAATTTCGAGTTTACGAACGAGGTAAAAAGGGCTAATTTGAAGTAAACAAAAGAATACTTAAATGGCGGCCATTTTGGAATAACGAGTATTGGGTATAACTCAGAGTCAGTTGCTTTCGGAACAAGACGCTTTTCACTGTCATGTACGATAAATGGGGTGCTCTTTTGTTACGGTTTGTTTTCCTTACGTTTTATTAATCCATGATTTAGACTTTTTATTTTCTTCCGGATACCCTCGCATGACCTAGACATATAAGGAGACGGTGATGACAACTAAATCTTCTCTTTATACGCTGTGGAATGTGTGTGCTGAAGATACCGGCATGCCTTGATTACATGTTCCCCTATAATGCAAGGATATGACCATCAGATGGGATCGTCAGAAACACCAATGTTTCTGCCATCTGACACTCAGTACTGAACTGCACAGAAACTGTGAATTCAACCTGGTTTACCAAAATATTGCCTTGAAGATTGTCGCCCAGCTAAGTCAACTGAGTTGTAACGAGTTGTAGCTCGACCGACCCAGGAGTACCTAAACAAAATCTTACGTACACTTTATTTTTGCAAAATAATAACCAACAAGAACAGACGATGATCGCTTGGCAACAAACAGCATCCCTGACATGAAGAAACTGCTCGAGAGATTTCATTTTTAAGTCGTCACACGCAAGGGTTTCAATCGCAAATGTAAAAGTTATACTGAAGGAGGCTGGTTCTCGCTGCCCTTTAAACAAAGCATATTACCGAATGGTGAAGGCATTCCGCTGAGGACGATTTAATTCAAGACTGTAAGCAGGTTTTTACTGAGCGAGGATATAAATTTCAGCGGTATTAGTAGTTAAAACCTTCCTTATTCTGTCTCCCCTAACCCTATGGACTTGCACTCAAAGAAGCTCCGAAACTACCGCGAAAACGCCAAACAAGTTTGAGTTTGCGGGTGGACGAAGAATTTCTTGCCGCCAAAGGACAGTCTAAGGGAATTATTTAATGCAAGTGTCATAATTGATTCGAGTTATAATTGATTCGTTTGTACAAGGTCGCTATCCGCCATATCTTAATGGCTTATGATGATTCAACGAATCCCTCCTGGCTTCTTTTTGTTTAACGCCATAATTGAGTCGGATTAATACCGGACGTCCAGTTAAAGAATTCAAACAGTCTAAAGGCTAGGTTGGTTTGAAGGAAACAAAATGACTCCCAAACGTGTCTTTAGTCTCAAATGTAAACCACTATGACTGCTGAGTTTGATGTCTTCAGAACTGAAATCGGCGCATGATTCGAGCTCTTAAATTTGAGAAGCAGATGCCAAAGTAAAAGGTCTTGACGAAGGGAATTAAACCTACCTCCATATTTAACAGTAATAAACATTTCTTTTCCAGTTGCTCAAGCAACTCAATGCTCACGGATTCTGTCTGCTTTCCAAACCAGCCTGTTTTGCTCATGGGCTGCTCGGGGTTAGGAAAGAATGCGCAAGTTGACAAATGCTAATTAATGCTTTTTACAAAAATACGGCTTTTATACTAATAACCAATGTAAACAAATCATACTACCAAGTTTGACGTTGATCGATTCGGTGAACACGTACAGCAAAGAGACAATGATCTAAACAGACCATTTTTAACTCATTATGGAAATATTAATCGTTGCAAAAACGGAGTGATAAAAGTGTGCATAATAATTCTTCTGAATTATTTAGTCCGACGAATGCTGGTGAATTTTGGCTCTCGTCTTGAAAGATCTTATTGGCTACAAGAGGTGCGAAAAACCTTTCAATGCACGCATCGCAGATCCAGTTACGTTTCGACACCCACCTTTGAGCAGGATTGGTTATTTTCGATCAAGCTGATTTATTGTAAGTAAACAATGGTTCTCTGTCACCCTCTAAATTGACCTTAGTGAAATGTACCAAAGTACATCCTCTAGACCTTTCTTATCAAATATATATTCGGCACTCACACTTGGAACTAAACAAATTTAAGTTATAAATGATGTGTTTTGGCGTTTATTCTTTTTCTTGTTAGTCAAAGCACACGCTCTTTCTAACCAAAGCAGGTGCACTTTCTATTTTAACACTGCACTTTCCAACAAAAGCGCGCGTTTTTTTCTCACCAAAGCACGCGTTCAAAGCACGCCCTGTTAATCATCAAATTAGACGCTCTTACTGACAAAACAACTCCATCTTTCCACGCCAGAGATATTTGAAAAACGGAAAACATTTGATGCAATTTCAGAATGAAAACGCCATTTTCAAATTTATCCGCTTAATTCCTACGAGAACACGTACTCTTTCTTAACGAAGCATGACCTTTTTAACCAAAGCTAGTGCTCTATTTAACTAAAGCACGCGCTCTTTCTAATCAAAGCACGCGTGCATGTAATTCCTAAAGCAAGAGCCATTCTAACCCAAACAAGGTCAAAGAAACACTGTCAAAGCAAAGGCGGCACCGTCTATCTGACCACAACCATGGATTGCACGATCCATTCCTGCGCACGTGAAGTTTCACACCAGTTATAACTCAGAACGTAGTAACAAGGTTGGTGTCGGTTTTTACGCAGTGTATTATTCCGACGCCCTGCGTCCCGTGATGCGAACGTACGAGAGTGCCCATTTACACAGCTAACATTCATTTTATTTCATCGTATATCTCCTACTGGGGGTATTGGTCTTCATGACCACAAACATTTTACCGAAAAACAGGGCAACTTTAAGACAGACACACAATTCATCAGTACAGTAAACTTTTTCAGGCAGCTAATGAGCTCTGTGGATCAACATGTTAAAATAGTCTTCTTTAAATTTTTTCTTCCGTGTTAAGGCAGAGATGACAGGCAATATGGGTGCAGGTTTACCTGCTACTGTGGTCTATAACATTATTTCACTTCAACTCACTCTTGGGTGACCAATACAATCTATATATTTACACACAATTATCACTCTTGTCTAAGTTCTTTTAGCTATATTGTCAACATAAAAATTCTCGTTTCTCGTCTACAAAAATTTATTATATTAGTTGGTAGCATAACTTATTTAATTAACCATAATATCGGTAGTTAGTTTACTGGGATTGTTTGGGTGAGGGAGGGGGGGGGNGGAGGGAGTCGTATTCTGTGATTGTTCGGGTGAGGGGGGAAGGCTGTTGTCACTAACTGACGTTTCGACAACCTGAAAGGAAGTCATCATTACGTGTTTTTTCAGTTAAAGTTAGTCAACTTAATTCTGAGTTTAAAAATAAGACTGTGGATGAAAGTTCAAATGATGTCTACCGAGCAGTATTTTCATTACATACTGTTTATTATGCTGTATAAGGTGGTTCTTTCTAATCTTGAAGTCCCTTGTGTGTGACCATTCAAGCTGTTGAGCAGTTCTTTCATGTGGCCTTGTTTCTCATGCTATGCAAAGTGGTTCTAACTTTTCAGTCTGTGGATTAAACCCTTGTGTGTGACCATTCAAATGAAAGCTATTGAGCAGTACTTTCATGCGGTGTTGTTTATCATGCTATGCAAGGTGGTTCTATCTTTTAAGTCTCTGGATGGAACCGCTACTGTGCGAAGTTGTTGAGCAGTAATTCCATTTGATGCCGTTTATGATGCAACAAGAGAGTAAACTAGTCTCAATGTGGATGGAAATGTTTAACTCTGTTATGTTAAACCATTCAAGTTTCTCAAAGCTATCGAGCAGTAGCTTCATGTTGAACTGGTTTCTATGGCGTAAACTACATGTAGTGTATGAGCTTGCACAGATCGGACAAGGAGTGGTAGACCGAGTATTTCTATGCTGATAAATCTGTGATCCTAAAAAAGAGATCCTATACACTGCTGTATTCTTCAGCTATCTGTAACAAACAACACCTGAAGTATCACTTATTCACAAAAACTAAATAATAAAGTGTATTCTCCTGTTTTAAATCACTGTTGTGTCCCTTGCTCTAGTAAGAACTTCTCGAACTCTTCACCAATCTCGTCATCGTATTCTGGATCATCTTCAAGGTAACAACCACCAGCTTCAGAATGACTGAAAAAAATATCAATGAAATAATAATGAGTCAAAGGTAAAAGTGGGTTTCAATTGAGAGTCAAATGTAATCAGGCAATTACTCTGGCTTTGGTTTTAGTTTTATTGCGGTTTGCGATTGGCTGAGTAGTCTAATTGGTAAGTAATTGGGTTGATTTTGGTTTTACGACACTCAATTGAAAACTACTCTAAAACAAGGTAATTATCTCCATAACCCCTCTGTCCTGGTTGTTGTTTTGTTTCGAGAGTTTCTATATGCTCCTCACAACAAACATTTCTAAAATTTCAACGCAAAGACAAAGAACCACTCCTTGGATGTATCATTGAGATATCTTATTTATTTATTTTTATTACCAATTAGTTATTTTTATTATTTAAGCAATAGACTGCTGGCAGTCTGTTTTAAACTCAGCAAGGATTATGAGCCAAGGCGCTTTAGCCTAAAGGGCGAGGCACGCCTCATTCCCTAAACGGCCATACCACTCTTTTGCGTTCGCGATGGCTGAACACTCATCTAAGTGACCCTAAGAGAAAAGACCGACAGCCAGCAGTTTATATATACCTTTAACACAAAAAAGTATTAAGTCTGAACAATGCCGTGAACATAAACATGACTCGTAATCACGGGACGCTACACATTGCATTCCCATTCTGATTGACTTAATTCTAATTTTGGTTTGGAGTCCATGTTCTTTGATGCTAACACAGCAGTTGCCCATCTATCGTGATCTAAATCATACTGCAATCTGAGTTGACGGCTAGCCAGTGACCTTACGCATTTTCAGGGACAAAACACGAGAATTCAAAACCGTTGGGTATCTATAGCAGAGCTGGAGTGCAAGTAGAAATTCCTTCTCGTAAATATTCTTCCTCTAAGATTCTGGAAAATACATGTAGGTCTTACATACTACTAGATGAAATAACCTAAGATAAAGCAAAGGGAAAACTTCTTGTTCAAGCCCTGCATACACAAAGTCCTGTAACAATTTTCGCTTGGCATAAAATGTATCAAATGGTGCAGGGAAATTCCTAGAAAACAAGGACAAACTACTCGAGTGTGACCAGGGAAACATTGTGCAAGTTCACTGAGCGATAGACTGGTAAGCTCCTCCTCCTTGAAAAACACATCCTTTGTCAAAATGTTACGCTGTATTTTTGTATTGTTTAAGATAATACACGAAGGTACATACCCATAATCTTCTTCATTATAATTCTCTGCAAAGTAGTACTGGTAAGTATCATGTATAAGAGCTCCTTCCTCCCCATCATCTTCATAGTAGTCACTCCATTGTTCTATGAAGTGGAGAAGCTCAGAGGTNGAACAAATTCAGGAGCGTTGACTACAGATACCAGATTATAGGTGCCTTTAGGAACAAACTCAACTGCATGAGGTGATAACTTGGAAACAGCTTGGGCTGGAGTTTCAGGTGTTAAAGTTTCTTCATGTTTTACTGTCTCATCAGGTTTGTCAACATGACTTTCCTTAATATTTTTATTACCACTTGAAGCATTGTCCTCTTGATTTTCTGTAACTTCCTTTGTTCCTCTACTTGTGGCAATTGATTGCATCAAAGCAACCTTCTCACTTTCATCTGATTCACTTTGCTTGTTGTTTGCTGCTTCCTCAGCAGGTTTCTCCTCAGAAGCTTGGCTTACCTTAGGGTCTTCAGTTGCTACTGGTAAAGGTGGTTTCTCTATTCAGGATGAAAATAAAAGTAACCATTCTTTTTAGCCAATCAAAATCTGGATTTTGTAATGTGGACAATTCAAGGCTGTGGTCTAAGAAAAACTATGAGGAGCCCAAAGGTTCCTAACCATGAAATCCTGGGTGCCCAGCACTTAAGCTTATAAATATGACAAAAGTATTTACTAAGTTTTTCCAGACACCTAAAGGCACAAGTTAATCACCTGTGGCACTTGGGCACTTCTAGGGCACAGCTCTGCAATCCAAGTACTAGAATGTGTTTACCCTTACAGAATCGTTGGTGATCTTATAGCTGTATAAGATCTTGAAATACCTTTCAAGGGTTTATACAGGAACTTTGACAGATCTGCAAAGATTCTTTAATGAAAGTCTTTGCAATCCAGACCCTCCAATACCTTCAAAGATCTTGGGAAGATCTTAGAAAAAAAAATTGACAATGCTTGAAGATCCTTTACTGATCTTGGCAAGCAACATTGAGGATCTTCAAACACCTATCAAGATACTCAATAATCCTTGAAGATCCTTAAAAGACTTTCTCCAGGGCTGAACATGGCTTTTGCACTCACATGTATGCTCTCACTGTTTCTCATTACCGGTAATCACTTACACCTCACTGTTTTCCCTCTTTGGGAAGAATAACTCCATTATAAGAAGGGGAATTTGTTGTGATGTTATTTTGGGGAACTAGGAGAACTGTGTGTAAAGGACAATGATATGCAGGGGAGTTTATTCAAAAGATTCTCCCATTCCTGGAGATAATCACAAAAGATGAAATATTGCTTCAGCCTGTTCACAATCCCCCTATTAGGTTCAGGATGTCATCCCCAAGAAAGCTGGTGAAATGTACATAACTGAAGAACTATATAGACTACATGACTGTCATGACATGGCCGTAATATATTTTGCAATTTTACACTTGAATCGGTTTCTTCACAGTACTTGTTCATGTCTCAGTTAACTTTAAAGTGCCCATGAAGTAAAAAATAATTGCTGCTTATTTGAAAGGCTTTTCAAAGTTAAGAAGAATGGCATTTTCCTTTTTGGAATATCTTTTTTCGTTCTAGAGATATTTACGTTTTTGTATTATGCAAATGAGGAAAG